CAATCCTGCAAACTTCCTGGTTTTCCAGGTGAGGCTAACTGGTCCTCTTTTTATTATTTTTTTGCCTTTTTTAAGTAGGGGCACTGCATCAGCCCTTTTTCCGTCCTCCGATACCCTGCCGGTCTCCCACAAATTCATATAGATCATTGCAAGGACTCTTAGATCTCCTCTGCCAGTTCCTCCACTACCCTGGGATGAAGTTCATCAGGTCCTGCTGATTTGAATTCATTCAGACCTATTCAAAACTCTCTGACCATCTCTTGTGATCTCAGTCCTCAAGGTGTCCTCCTCCTTATCCAAATAATCCTTATTAGTAGTTTGGATATAACTGGCTGCAGCTTAATTTTTTTGAGGACAGAGGCAAAGTAGCAGTTGAGCAGTTCCACATTCTTTGCACAATCTGTTAAGAACCCACCTTGGCTGTTTATCAGTGGACCCACTTCTTCCTTGGTCTTTCTTCTCTGGCCAATACATTTATAGAACCTCTTCTGGTTGTCTAACTTCTCATGCCAGGTACAAGCGCTCACTCTTTTTTTTCTTTCTTTCTTTTTTCACTTTTGCCTTCTTCATTTTGGGCCCGTCAAAGTTTATTTTCTGGTATACTTCCTTGGTGACCTGCCCATCTTTTCATAGCCTCCATGCTTTCCTTTTGCATTTGAAGTATCCTAGAAGCCCTGTGCAGCCACACTGGCCTCTTGCCATACAATGAAAGTGCAAGAAGTATCTGAATAGCTTTGTTGGGCTTCCAATCCTGTGCCTCTTGGAAGCTTCAAGCCCTCCTGTTCCTGAGAAGCAGTGTCAGAGGAAAGTAAATACTCCCACCCACCCCAGTAGGTGAATGAAAAGCATAAACATATAAGGCATCAAAGAACATATCCTTCATTAAAAGCTTTTGAAAGTTGACCTAGTCAAAACAGAAAGCCATCTCAATATATGAGTCCAGATGATGACAGGGGAAAAGATCACATGTATTTTCCTAATAGGAATCCCCAGACAAGACAACCACTAAATCCCATGCCAGTTCTTAACTAACAAAGATTCTACTAAACGAAGTTCTGGAGTCACCAGGATCTGCTCTCCCAAGAACTAAAGGTATCATTATTTACCTTTTCTTCAAGAAATACATATAACTATTCCCCAAAGTATGAGTTTAACATGTGGTATGATCTTCAAGTATATTGGCTAAGATCTAAATAAACGTGTTGGAGAACTATTCTCCATGTGACCAAGAGATCTAGATAGAAAGAACACAAAATATTGTTCTGCAAACATCTGTATAGAAATCCTAGCAGCCCTGTAGATTTCTAAATGGAAACAGAAATATGCCACTCAAAGCCACCTATACAACTATGCATCATACAGCTAAGTATGTCATCTCCTATTCTACTTAAACAGGTGTATGCAGATACTATATTCTCACACTGATTCCCAAAGTCTTAAGCAACTAATTTATCTTATTTTATATAAATAAAACTTCTCAAACAGAAACAAGGTATGGAAATTAATTATAGAATTAAATGATTTCTCGTATAAACTTGGGATAAGGGTGCAGATTTTTGTGCATATAAAATAGTGGACTGATTATTAGGCATTACGCCCTACTGCTCACTTCTTTATACATAAGGGTTATTTCTGGAGTTTCTAAAACCATACATGATAATCACTAGTGTAAAAAGGTTTATGTAGGGATGATCCTGCCTTGAGGAGCGGGAATGCATTCGCCTCTTCTTAAAAGAATCTTACCAGATTAAGTTAACCAAAGAGGCTAGTGCTTTACACAGGAAGGTGGTATGCTGGAATGGCGCACAGGTATACCCTGACTGAAAAGGCTGAGAGATGTTAGTGCAGTAAAAAAAGCCCAAGTTGAAAACTAACTACGAAGACAGCTTGTTATCCTGCTGCTCATGGTGATGCCTTTTCCAAGTCTGAGGAAAAATGCAGATTTCTCGACTAACAGGATTTCCTCATTTCCACAGAACAGGTTAAGGTTAGAAAACCCAAGATGCAAAGTGGAATAATTCTAGATTGGAATGCAGGATGTAAAAGTCCTCTGGGTAAAGATGTTCAACATCACTGGTAGGGGATATGGTAGCTCCCATCTGAGAGGTATGCATGCCAATGTGGTTCTTCCCACCTGGAGAAATTTAGTACAACCTGAACCCATACGGAAGCTACTACAACAGCAGACTACAGAAATTTTCCTAGCAAAGAATCTGGCCAAAGTTTCCAGCGCTGAGCCAATCTAGTTTTTCTCCAGCTGTAGCTGCTCTCCCTCCTTAGCTAGTTTATGGTGAGACTATGAAAGAATTTGGCTGAAGGATCACTTGCTCACAAAGACTGAAGCAACCCAAAAAAGGGAAGCTTTTAGAATCAAGACAAAAATGTTACTTGCCCTCCTAAATCAGGAACGAACAAAAGTATTCTGGTATGCCAAAGTAAGCAAATAATCTCAGATCTTTGTATTATGGTTAAATAAGAACCCTCTTATTCCTCATGTCTTTAGAATTTAAGCAAGGAGATTCAAAACCTGCTATTTTTTTAAATGAAGGATCCCCCTCAGAAGACAGCTTTCTAAACACAGCTGTGCATTTCTTCTGCTGCTCCCAGTAGCTAGCACCAGATTTTTTCCCCTAAAAGGCTGGTTTCCTGCAAGGCTAGTGAGATACAGCTATTGGGAATCCTGGCTATTATGTCTTCCAAAGGATGCACACTGTTCTCATCTTAGGATCCATGGAAATATGTGTTAGCAAAACTTGTTACTAGATGCTGAAAATGGTGCCATTATCTTCCCCGTCACCTTAACTATTAATGTAGTTGTCAACTTGTGTATTTTCAACTAAGGATGTAAATGGTTAAATAATATTTATACCATTTACTGCTTACTGTTCAGTGATCCT